ATCAGAGTACTGGTAGACACGACACAGGTGTTGATGAACTAGTCTATACTTTTTCACCCCAACCATAAAACAAGTTTGATTTTGTGCCAGTAGAGGCACATATGCCAGAGTGTTCATTGTGTAATACTACTTGAATTAAACAGCAGGTCTATTTTCTGCCTTCTTGTTTATTTTCCCCAAGTAGCTGAACATTGATGAGGATAGATACAGCTTCTCCCCCCCCATCCCCAACCATGCACCATAAAGAACTGAATAAATAAATAAATCTTGTCTGAATATTCACATCTGCAATCGAATCTTTCAGGGCATATCTGTATCATTCTCCAGACTCAGTTCCCTCAGTTACTATGTCACATCATCTGTTAACTTACAACTCCTCACTCACTCTTCATGTGAGAACAGCAGTAAATTATCAGTTCTTGAATGCAATCAATGTTATATCATATGGACTAATGGACCTTATTCCTAATGTCTGAAGCTTTGTACCTAGCTCTCAAACAATGAAACTATATTTAGGTGAATAAGAAATAAAAGATCTATTGCACTTGAGTAACGGTTATGTCAGAGATTTTAGAGACTCATGATTATTGACACATTAAAAGGATATTTAACATCTGATTATCAGCAGCCCACAGTGCCTGACATATATATATATTTATACATATATATATACAGAAACATCACTGAATGCATGGAATCTGTAAAGAAGTAATTTTTAAGTCCTAGTTCAGTAACAATTTACAAATCAGATTCCTTTGAGAGTTCATTGATGGGGAGATACTATGGGAATGGATGGAAAAGAATGAAAAAATGTTTTCTCTCTCCTTACTAATGCCTCTGGGGGGAAGGCTCTTTTCTGGTCTGGTTTACTAACTACCACCTACAAAGAGCAGCACAACCTACTACACTGGGTGGGACTGGAGGTGGAGGCCTCTAGTGTTCTTCATGTCAAGAACCTGCACCTGGGGGTTGTCACTGTGCTGGAAAGCCATCTCCAGGACAGTGCTCCCTGATGCATCAGATAAACCCCAGCGGATACATTTTCTCATTGATTTCTAGTTGAAATAATGAAGTATTTCTCAGAAAGATTATAAAATTGCACTGAATTCTCACATCAGTGACATGAAGACATCTACATTAATGAGATACTGTGGGGAAGGGTGAACAGAAAGGTTGACTATGAACATCCTCACCTAAGGGAAATAGTTTTCAAGTAAGTTGATATTTATAGTGATTAAGCAATTGTCTAAGGTTTTGATCTTTCAAAGAGGCGTGAACATAAACTTTTTATCTGCAGCTTGTCACACCAAAGTCACTTATTTCACTGCAAGTGACACTGCTTTTATGTTAACAGTCATCATACCTAAAGTTAGACTGGGATTTTTTTTTTTTAAGCTTGGGTGTGCAGATTCCTTCTTCCCCAATAAAAATTCCAGATTTGATAAGTATTTGAGCTGACAGAGCTAAGCCAGTTGTCTGAGAATGTTGTACAGTGAAATCGTTTTTCACTCTTGACATTTCAGTTGATTAACACAGCGCGTTCCCCAACCAGCTGACCAGCTGAGGGTTGAGAAAAGTGAAATGTTTAAAGTACTCTTTCTGTCTTACTGTCTGTCTTCGTATGATGTGAAGAAAACACAAATTTTAGCCCCCATCTCTTGGTGGAGACCAAGGGAAACATCCCGTCAATTATATTTGCACTCTTCCAATTACAGAAAAAAGCATCCCTGGTGATTGACTTGTTTTCAAATTAAAGAAAGGAGTAAGCACAGAAATTGCTAGAGAAGAGCTACTACATTGCAGAGATCTCTCTGCAGCATGAGACGTGAAACAAAAGCACAAAAGCCATTTAAGAGACTCTTTACTAAGGACTCAGCTCAGGTATATTCTTTTTATTCACATCAAACTAAATTTATCATTATGACCCATAATACAGTTACCAGCAAAGATAACTGTAAAGACACCCTGGGCTTCGGTTGGTACTCATCTCGATTGCACACTCAAACCAAGGTCTGTAAAAACATGTCTGCTCTCTTGCCGTACACACAGAATTTGCTGTGGCTTAGCTGCTCAGCTTCTGCATGAAGACCACCTAGTCAAGAGGGACATTATGGGATCATGCCCCTATTTCAGCTTTTTGGACACATCTCTGCGAAGAAGAATAAAAGGCTATATTTCACAGCTATGATATCATTCTCATGAGCTATATTTCAGCTTGAGCCACTATAAAACCTCTCCCATGACATCAGAGCTGTGAAATATAGCTGACTTCAAGTGCAGAAAATTCTCCTGTAGGAATAATTGTTTCCTGGCAATTGGCATTTGAAGGACTGATCCTTTAAGAGGCTGGCACAAATCCTGTCAGGCAGTTCTGCTCCAGGCAGCACTGCTCAGGAAACATTAAGTATAGGAGCAGAGGTACACAAGCTCACTGTGGGATTTAGCTGTGGGGGCAATGAGATGAGTGCTGGTGGAGCCTGTGGAGTGATGATTTTCACTCCCTTATGCCATGCAGACTTCTCTAATAGCAAAATAATATGTTTGCTTATATGCTGTACTCCCTATCTCAGACCCTTCCTCCCCAGCAAGGTGAGCCACATGCACACAGCCAGAAATTAATTCTCCTGCCTTTTCCCATCTTCACTCCAAGCTAGCTTCACGACAGGTATGCAGTTAAAGGGCAGCTTGCCAGGGCTGCAGCTGCCCACGGCACTCATTAACTCACCCAGGCAGCCAGCAACCTCCCTGAAGAGCAGATGGGCAATAGTGTGGGAGTCAGAAGCACCGTGTGCGACATCATTTCCCCTTTTGTTTCTTATCAGAATGCAGAGACTCAGAGCTGAGAGGTAACAAAGAGGGATATTGGCAGAGCCTTAAATGAGAGCCTGAGCAAGTCAGAAGGGCATAGGATGAAGATAACATGCCATAAAAACAGGCAGAAAGCTGAAGCTACCTCAGCTCTCTCTTGCCTGGTGCCTGAATCTACCAAACACTTCAAGTCTACTCACATTTAGCTTTTTCTGTTTCTCTCACACTTCCCCACTTTCCTGTGAAGGCCACCTTGCTGTGGGCAGCGCATCTGTTCTTACTGTGGCTCCTGAACATGTGTATGTTCAGATGAGTGTAAACCCGTAGGTCTGAGCCTGCCTCACATTGCTCAAATGTTTATGTAGGCACATCTCCCAAGCCCTGCAGGATGGAGGAGTTTTTGCCTACAGAAGGTTTACTGGTCTTAATGAGATCTAATTGGGAACCTTTCCTTTTCTCCAGAGGAAACAACATCATTTCAGAATTAATTGCATCTTTTCCACCCTTCCTCTTAATGTTAAAAAACTGACTTCTCACCCAGAAGCTACCTTCTTATGGTATTTTACCTAGTGAAGTTGTAAAACGATATAGTTTGAACAGCCCTTTTCCATTACCATGCATCTAAAAGTTAGGTGGAATTTTTTTTTAACGGAAAATGATTTACTAAGAGGAACTACAAGAGACTAGAGGTTATTTTATACAGTGTATTACTAAGAACAGTGACAAGCAGCAGAGTGGCTAAAAGGAGGCACTGGAAATGTTCTAACTGCATGAATGTACCTCAAAGGTTAAATTCTGCCTGATTTGCACCTTGACAAACCCAACATAAATTAAAGGGGAAAAAATGATCTTCTATGTACAGTATGATCCAAATAGTGATACATGAAATGTCTAGAAAATAAAATAAAATCTCTTTTGGATTTAGTATAAAGTCAGATTATCATTCAACAATTTTATTTACAAACACTGAGAGCTGTCTTGTTGGATTTTGAGCTGGTTCAGAACGATTTGTAGCTTCTGATAAGAATATTGAAAAAAATAACTTATCCAAAGAGCATCTGTTCAAAACAAAATGAAAATCAAGCAAATAAACTTTAAGAGTGGATCTGTTTGAACAAAACAAACAAACAAACAAAACCACACAAACAAAAAAATGTTTATGAAAAATATTCCTATATATAGGAATATATGTGTGGAAGTTTTTCTGTCAACTAATTTCTTCAGATAACAAATTGTTCCAAAGCTGTTCATTAGGCATTTGGCTACTTATATCATTTCTTCTTACTTAATAAAAGCTTTCAACTTCCTTAAAACAGATGAACTGTCAACACCAAGCTATAGTACTGAACACATGATATTCTCCACGATGAAAGTTGTGCAATCTTCAGTGATATAGGAATCATTTTCATAATTGTTTTGCAGGTCTACAGATATTAAATATTAAAAATAGGAACTAGTATCTAGTAGGAGCCCAGAGGCAGAGATTAACTAGATAACTGCTATACTTTTTAATTAATAATAAAAATACTTACATATATAACTATTCATTCAAAGTTTCAAAACTCAGCACGTAACTCAAGCAACAGTTAACAAAAAAAAAAAAACAATGACTTCCACTGAAATTCAAGTGTCAAGGAGGTACAGAGTGTGGGAGATATTGGCAAATACACACATCTACTTCACTAACCTGTTTACTTGACCCTTCCTAAATGAAGTTAAATAGAAATTCCTAAAATTTGAAGGTAAAATCCTGAAAATTTCAGGCTTTTCAGCCCATAACTGTAGCAATTGAATGTCCTTGAGATGACAGTATGCACTCTTGCTAATCTTTCTTGAGTGCAATAAAGTAACCACATCAAGATCCCCAGTCAGAAATTAATCAGCTATATAGCAAAGTCCAGGCTATAAAAATGTAAATACTTTTTTTTTCTTTAGTTCATGAATGAAGGTAAATGGAGGTGAAGGAAAAAAGACACCACCAACATCAAAACACATCAGGACTACCTCCTTCTACTCAATATACATTCACTCCAATTATTTAAAGGACTGCTTGCAATGTTTTGAACCAGGAACAGCTTTTCAACAGTCTCTTCTAATTTTTGATTGTTCTTTTAGTTTTTTTATTTACTTGCTGTAATGATGACTGTTAATACTTTTGAAAATACTTACAACATTACTACTTTTCTTTTCAGAGATTCTCTGAGACTGCAAAGACTACTTAAAGAACGAAGACGGCATGAGATTGGATTTGATGCACTAAAATAGGTTAGCTTGAGGATAAGAAAAACAGTTGCTATTTAGATCTTCTCTTGTTGCCGTGATGAGAACTTACCATTGCTTCTGGTTGCTGTTTTGGGCTGGCCAGCCCCAACAAAGTTTCTTAACTTTGCTGTCCAAAAGGACTAGTGGCTTTCCAGAAAAGGAAAAGGTTTTGGTATTGTCTGGAAACAGCAGGAGAGACCTCAGTCGTTCCAAAAGGAGTTGGATGTGGAATCAGTTCTTTTTATTGGAGGAATATACAGGAACTGACTATCAATATGTTGGCAAGGTAAGATTCCTTTAGATATGTTTTGATTTTAGAAGAGTTAGATAGCCAGCAAAAACAAGTAGGTAAGAATGATGCCTGCTACAGTTCTCAGTTCTCATTTCTGGCTGCCTTGCTTCAGCTGAGGAGTAATTCACTAGAAAGGTTAGTATAATTAAGCTTCAAATTGTAATCAACTATGAAGAGTTCCTAGTTTAACTTGTATGTCCCATGGTCAATCTTGCCCAAATCTTTAAAAGATTCTGGTTTTTAAAATTATTTAATTGATACAATGCAGTTCAATTATACGATAGTCTAGCTCACTTTTTATACTTAAAATGTGTTTTCCTCCACATTCTTTAACTATATAGAGTCAAACTGTATATACTTGAAGAGGGTTTATTCCAAGGTACTTAGGATTCACAATGCCTATACTTTTGTGAGGATTCCCCCTATCCCACAGAAGGCAGCCATTTCATTGCTTATTCTCCACTGCACATACCAGTGCTGCAGCCATTTTATGATGAGGTTTTGTGGCGCCATGGAAGACTTTGTGACATGACCATGATACACAAGCCATGCTATTACAAAGAGTTGAAGAACACTGTGCTTATGTGCTAAGTAACAATCAGGTAAAAAGTACTAAGCTCAAAGAATGCCAACAGTTAGAAAAGGGTCTTTAGAAAATAAAAATTACATCTCAATTCTGAGAATATCCACCTCCTAGAGTGGCAGGCCCCAACTTAGGTAACAATTCCTCAGGTAAACTATAGAGCTAATGCATTTGTTGTTTATTTAGAAGGAACCTACACTGCCCAAGGTGTCATAATCTATAGAAGTCTCTCTTGCAGAATGCAGAAATTATGCTACTGATGATGACATTCAAAGTAAAAACAATATAGCTTAGTTCTCTAAACTCAAATAGGATTGTGTCTGATCTAGCTTGATCTTTCAGGCCTCACAGCAGAGGCTGCAGATCACAGTGGTTTGACATTTTATCTCCCTCTTCAAGCTTCTGAGCATTCCCATGAGAGATGGTGACTGCTTTTCTTGCCTGCCAATCAGCTGTCACTCAAAGTTGGATGTGACACTCCTTTCCTACTAAATGGCTGCAAGGCATGATTCAAATGAAGAGCTACTCAGCTGGTATAATACTCATAGAGCTCCAACCAAGGTAATCAGCATTCATGAAGAGTACCACTGAACCCAATCTACAGGAAAATGCCAAAGGCAGAGAGTCCTCAGAGAGAAGCAGAGGGAAAGATAAGAGGGTAAGAAAAAAAGCCAGAGAAGAGTAAGAGAGGAGAACTAGAAAGACAGAGGTGGGTGGAGAGGAAACTTTACAAAGAGGAATCAAGATCGAGGGAGGGAAACAAATCAAATAGGAGTAGAGAATAGAATTCAGGAAAATAAGGTTACCTAAAGAGAACACAATAAAAACAGAAGATGAGAGAATAAAGGAAAACCAAACAAAAAAAAAATATCTAAACAAATCAAACAGAGAAGAAGTACAGAGCCAAGGAAAAAGAAGGAACACAAATTGGAAGATAGCAGTTCTCCACACACACTCTTGTTTTACAGAATACTTGTGGGGGTCGAGGTAGGGAGCTCTTTCAGCAGCCTGTCATTTTCACTGCAAATTCTGACATTAAACCTCAGTCCCAAGTCTCCCATTCTCCACACTGCAGAATTCAAGTAGAAGCTATTGACTACAGAGGGATTGTTAGGGGAGCAAATATTCCTTCAGGATGTTTTTGCAGTGAGACAACTAAAAATGGTCTAGTTGGACCAAAAAAAGCCAAGAAGGTTTGAAGTGGAATCACAGAAAGAAAAAAAAAATGTGGTTGGTATTTTTAAGTTATTCTCCAGTTTATTTGTACTTTAATACGTTTACTATTACAAAGCATAGAAGTAACACATAATGTATAAATGTCATTGATTCTGTGTCCCTGGGCTTGTTCACAAGTGGCCTTTCACATGTCTTTCAAATGTCAGAACTGCTCACACCCTTGTAATTTAACAATTAGCCAAAAGGCATGGAACAGCAGCCATTTATTATTAGAGAAAGTTGAATATTGGTGTGAGGATAAGTGATAGAAACAGCTGAATGTCTCCAAATTGAGGTAACCAGGCAATTTAGCTGAGCAATTAAACTTGATTGGAGTGGGCAAATGAGGATAATGAACATGTTTATGAAGCATATTTTGTCTCAGAGGACAGAATGTTAACCTTAAATACGAACTGAAAATGATAAGAGTTTTTGGTTATCATCTTTTTATTCCCTTATATCATAAGGAAACGTGCATAGGAAATTCTTTGAAAACAATAGCGATATATGCATGTAAAGGGGAATTGTGCTTTCTTTTTACTGCATAGGCAGTCATATCTAGCTTTTTTGCTTTTTGTGTTCAATAGTTGAAGCTAGTGGGCATTAACATCAGAATCATAAAAAAAAAAAAAATCTTCTAAAAAAAAATCTTTTAATCTGCTTTTGTTTATTTTTTTTTCTGTTCATTGTTAACATGTTTAGTTCAAACACCTGTATGAAAAGATTAGACATCACAAGTTGGCTGTAAAATATTCTAACAGCATTGTTTTTATAACCACCCATATTACAGTCATAAAAACCTGTAACTGTTTGTGCTACAGAAACCACGTTTATATCATAATAGTTTTGGAGAGAAGAGGAGGAAAAGTGAAGAGGAACATATTCAGGTTTGAGATAATAAAAAAGGTAATCTCTCTGAAGATATCAAACAGCAGTAGAACTCAGGGCAGTACTGAAGGCAACGCTGAAGTGTCATGAGTCACGGGCCAGAGCACTACAATGCTATATGCTCTGTGTACTTCAGCAAACCCAAATGCTTCCATCCTTTAGGAGATAATTGTCTAAGCACTCCTGAGCACGTATAAAACAAAGTAGTCTTTTTCTGGTAGGCACTGGTACCATGAACTATTAGAAAACAGGTCCTCCAGTTTTGTTTACTACAGATTTTACTATCAAGTCAAATATGCTGCTGTATCTTAAACAAGAATATGCATCTGCCACGAATCTCTCGGCGTTATCAACACAAGTTGATTGTATGCTGTGGCACTGACATCAGATCCACCATTTTATCATCCACTTCTATTCCTAACTTTCATTCTTATATATTCACAAAATAAATCCTTTGAAAAAGAATAGAAATACATGCCCCCTAGTCCTGGTTAGGCTCAGTAATATAAGGAACTGGTATAAAAGTTCTAGACTGGAATTATTCATTGCACTGTTGAATAACTTGTGAGCTACAGCTATTCATTGAAGTGTGATTGATGGGCACAGTGACATTTTAACCTGAAGATATCTTTTCTTCTGGTTCAGAAATTACAACGCTTACCAGAGACTCAATCCAAAAATAAAATAAAAGGATTACATGAGTATCAAAGTGGAGAAGTTCCCAATACTATAATCCAGAAAAATCTGCAACATCTGAATTAGGTTTTTAAAAATTACCTACTTGTACCAATGGCTGTTTAGTAAAATTTTAAAGAGAGGTGTTCACGTGAGCCCTAAGTCACAGGTAAAAGATAAAGTGGTACTGTAGCTGTATATAGAAATATATGCTGTATTCCTCAGAGGTCTATCAGATATTTCTGAGCAACAGAGGGAAAAAAAGCTGTCGTTACAATAGTAGACTCAAAGGTACGGTAATCATTTGTATGCATCTGATGTCTTTACACAGCTATCCCATTGGCTGCATGAAATCCATGTACTGGCATCCATCACTGAGTGGTCTTGTCAGCACAAACCTACAAGTCATTGTTATATAAAGGGATAGGATGCCTCTTTCTTTTAGACTAAAGAAAGTTCTGAACAAGACTTAAATCTTACTCATTAACCTGGAAACAGCTTCTGGCAGCTTGCAGTAGAAAGCAGCAACTTGCTTTCCTGATAACAACAGGCAGAATGGTTTTGTCTCACTGTCTGTCTGATAGTGAAAGGAAACTTCCAGACGTACTTTTCATTTTTTCTGTGTCTTATTGATGCTCAAATAATTCAAGCTTTATGCTTGCCTGGAAGCTATCTGATGTTTCTACCTGTACCACCCATCATAAACAATCATCCTCTGCTGACAACTCAATTTTTCAAGGAAGATAAAAGTCAAAGTTCTGCTGCTATGTGTCTTGGCAAAGCAGAAAGGATACTGCACCTAGGCAAAAGTAGAATCCTTCTGCTTGGTATTTAAAAAAATAAAATAAAATAAAATAAAATTGAAAGATTCCTTACCCTCTGTAAGGAATGGTTCAGGTACCATCAATCCTGCTTTTAGGGAGGATGTGATAAAATGAACAGTATTGCAGTATGTTTCCAGTAATATTTTGATTCCTTTTCCCTGACTTTACTTACAGCTACAACTGTTTTAAAGGCAAGTATCACCAAATCAAAGAGAACACCTCCAAAGCATTGCAAGTAGTAGGATTAAGTCACATTCTGAGAGAGAAATGTATAGCTCTGACATGAGGGGCTATTTAAAGAATGAAAATTACTGTTCTGTAATACAGTCTACACATTTTCAACATTTTGATCAGCAATGGGTTGCATACTCCAATGCGAAAAATTTAGGACATCTTAATTGGACAACAGTGCATTTAGCAAGAAAAATTTCCCCTTTCTCTCAGATCTTTAATATGCTAGTACTCTGTACTTATCACCAAAACTTGTTTTCCAAAAAAGCCAAGATGTGTAAAGTCAAGCTAAAATGATTATTAGCATCTGGGCTTTTAGCATTCCTTATACAATTCTACTGGCAAATATTGTTTTTCTTTACCTTGTAACTAATGCTCTGATAGCCTCATGATGCCTTCAGTTTCCTATTCCAAAAAAAGTGACCATTTACTTTCTTCATGAAGCCTAAAATTAAAAGTCACATTTGTGACTTCTTCAATGAGTCTACTCAAAAGAGCTTTCAATTTATTTTGGCATTCAGAATATCATTTCCTTAGGAATAGATTCTACTTTCTGATTTTCCAAGAGAAATGCAACC